GTTACTTTTTGTGTCTGTTCATTCTTGCACTAAAGAAATGTTTTTCCAAACATTAAAAGAGATCCTTGCTAATTAAATTACTCTTATAACCTTGTTATAAGAAGTGTAAGCTGACCCTTACAGAAGCATGGCTACTGTGTGAGAGGTGAGGTAGCCCCCTCCACACGTTTATTTWTTTTTTGGATTATTTGACTTTTTATCTATTTTGTTATCTATTTAGACAATCCAGGGGTTCTGTGACACCCCCCAGCACCCCTACTCCCCTCAGCTTTACCCTGCTGCTTTACTGCCACTTCTTCAGGAAATTCAGACACTTTGACATGAAAGATGTTTTAAATATTTCTGTGTTTCTGAAAGTTGTCACAACGACCAGAATATCCCAGATAATCAGTTTCAAGCTCCACAGCTTTAGTGAGTCGAGATGTTGGTGGGGCAGTTTTTGAATTTAAATAGCAGATGGATTACCAAACAAATTATTTTAAATTTGACTTCATTGTCATTTTCTCGTCTTGAACTGAACTGAACTTTGTTTACACCTGATTATTTTTGGATTTGACTCGATTTAAGATGGCTGCCACTGACAACTGAACTTATAAATGCAAATACAATCAATAATTCAATCAGTTTTACAGCAGCTTACCCAAACGTTGGTGTGGTAGTAGCTGAGACTGATCCACAACTAAGTACTAAAATATTGCGCAAGATATATTTTTTTAAATATTGCCAATAACTATTTGGAGTCAACTTTGTTAACAAAATATCTCACAATCAACTAGAACAATTGCATGGAAATAATTACCTGTACTTCTGTATAAGACGACTTCCACCATCAACTGACTGAATGATTACTCTGAGTCAGTTTTTGAGATATTAGGCTATGATTGGTTGTAGTCATATCTGAGTCATACCCTGAGCATAGCATGTCACTGTGTACTGCATGAAATATGGCATAAATAAAAAAATAAGAATCAAGGTTTGCTTAAAACAGCAATTTTACAAGTCATTTTGCATAATAACACCATATAGCTAACAATAAGTACATCTTTAATTTTCTTTGTAAATTTTAAACCCTTGTTTGTGTGTTTTATGTCCTCAAAGCCACACAGCTGCAGCTGTGAGCGTGTCATACAAACACAGTACAAACAGCTTTTTGTACATGAAGAGGTGGAGGAGTGATTTATTGCAGGCTGTCATGCAGGAAGTGCTGCCGTTCAGTCTGGCTTTTCCTGAGCTGGTCGAACAAATTTCCATAACAAGCAGAATTAATACATTTTAAATGTTAATGCTGAATTTAGGATATTCAGTATGCCAGCGGTGTTGATTTATCTCTTTATGCCTCTGGAGTGTGTTAAATAAACAACTGTTTCCTTCCAATAACTGACCTTGTCACTGTTTTTTTTTTTTCCTTATGGGCTCCACAAATGTTCTTCCATTTTTGCTGTAATTTGAAACAAAGTGCAGCATGTTTTCAAATGCAGCATCTRAGAGTTCGCTGCACCTGAAGTCCATCTGAAATAATTAGTTTTCTTTTTAATCACTGTGATAAAGCAGCAGACGTATTAGACGGCATCCTATCAACAGATTGTGTCTTTCTCAATTGTATATATATATA